CCCTGGGTTAGGGGAACTCCCTCAGCGCGCTGGTTGGCTTGCTCGGGCTCAGATTGGCGGGCCATTTGTTGCTGTAGGACCAGTAGGTTAGAGATTCTCCTGATGAAGGATGAACACTAAATCAGGCCCTCCTTCTAGCGCCAAACTGTTGATGCATGATTTTGACACCAACTAATCGACACGTGCGCAACGCTGGTTGGCCATGAGACACACGTGAGTATAGATAAAGTGTGTAGTAAATGTAGTAGTGAGAGCTTTTTAAAGTGGTTCAGATGCTAAGGTAGCAAGTCCTACGTCCACCGATAGTTGTATTAATATTGTGGGTCAGGTCGCAACAGCGGACTGACTTACAAATGATTAGTGAAAAGTAAATGCAAAGATACAAGAGAGAGAAGGATAGCTAATTCAAAGTGTAAAATGGTCGAATCCCCTCAATGAAGGGGTCTTCTCCTTTTTATAGTGAGATGAGTGCAAGTAATCATCATTAAATCCGTGGGTTGGTGTGAATGTCAGGACAAAATCCGGCTTTATGTCACATTGACCACCTTCCAAACTGATTTCACGTGATTTGGAGCAAGGAATGGACACGTGGGATCTCCACAGCGTCTGGCAGGTCTGGCACGCGCTTACCGTTCTGACGAGAGCAGGTCACACTCCATCACGTGATTTCCCACGTCAGCCCTTGATTTCCCAGGCATAACACACTTTTTCCTTTAAATCCATAATTCTAAACATAACTAACATATCTTGCAATCGCCGGTTGATCACCAAAACGAGGGTGGCAAATAATGGGATCCCTTCACATATATTTTCCAAAGTAGAATTCCAACCATTGTGTGTCCATAAACCTCCTGTGGTAGGATGAGCAGACAATTTTTGTTGGGAGCCCATTTCACTATATGTCCTCTTCCATCTAGCATTTCAAGGAACCCTTTTGGCAATGCTACAAGCCATTCTGCTCCACGGACCGATCCTAGTCGAACAACCCACAAGAAAGACAGCCCATTATTGGCTAATCCCTACACTATCTCCAAAAATTCAGTTTCATTAATAGCCACAATGCCATTATATTTAGCATATTTGCTACAACTTTTGTTTTTCTTGCTTTATTCTCTGGGATTCCTTTAATCCAAGTTCATTAACTATTTAATTTTTGTTAGTTTGTTTTTAAACTTACGTAAAAATTTAACTTTAAAATCTTAATTAAACTAGGGAATTGAAGTTTAGACTAATAATCTGTGAGATACTCGTTTTTCTACTCCATCAATTTGATTTTTGTTTGGTGCTATAGTACATTATGTACTGCATTTTCTTATTGTAAAATTAATTTCTGTGAGCTTTGAGGAATAGTCTTTCTTTTCTATTGCTTTTTCATAAGTTTTTGTCATATATTGTATACCCCAGAATAATTATAATTTATTTGTAATTATTTAATATCTTGCTTGACTTATTGATTATGCATTGAATTGATGGTAGGAAAAAATAATAGAGTTGCAAGATGAAACACAAGCAGGGGAAAGTGAAAAAATAGTAACAGAAATATGTGAGGAAGTGCTGGGTAAAGCTTCTGGATTTAACCAAAATTTTGCATTTTCACAGACTCAGCATCATGATATGGCAGTAGAAGCAAAGTTAAGGCACATAGTGCAACAATAAGAAAATAAGATTAAACAGTTGGAGGAGCAACTCATCCTATTTGATCAACAAAAACAGAAAATAAAAATGCTTGAAGAACAACATTTTCAAATGTTGGAGATGCTGAAGCAGATCATTATAGCAGCTGCACACATCCAACCTACTAAAGCTCCAACTCGACTATCGTCACCATCTCCAACTAATGAAGAGTCTTCCTCATCTGCTACAACTATTTCAAGAACCTCAACTAGTGACACTTGAGATGCTAACAATATTAATGGTTAGTTTTTTGTTGTATGGGCAGTAGATATTTTGACATGGGGTAGGACCATCTTTTTGGACTTTTTAGTATTGCTTGCATATATCCTTAGATGGTGTACATGGGGTGGGCATTTTGTTTGTTAGTTATCCACAAATAGATAATTATTGATGAAAATGTGGGGTGCATGCTTTCTTTTTTGGTTATGCACACATGATAGTGCATTTTGGATCATGCATAAAAATCCATGTATGGTGTATATATATATATGAAAATATGATATTTGATGTTAGTGATCAGATTTTTATATTGTATTAATTATTTTGTTGATGTTGAATGTATAAACTAGGTCATTTACAAAGAGCAAAAATAATGCTCTTAAATGTTAACCAATTAGCTATTAAAGCATTAGTTGTAGAGATAATACAGTAGCAAAGACTAATCATTAATATTTGACTAAAATAATTAGTTTCCAAAACTCATATACAATCGATTACTATATTATTTAAATGCAAAAAATTAATTTTAATGACTAAACATTAGTTACAAAATGTAAGAAACCAAATTGGGTATATACATTTTCCCACTAAAAATGAAATGTTTTTGCCACTAATTATTTTTCTCACAAAAAAACACATTCTACAACTAATTTCATAGTAGCGAAAAGTAATTTATCATATTTAGATTCCACATTCAGCGTCTAAAATTATTAGAATTAATCATTAAATTTTTGTCATCAAAAGATATATTCGTCCACTAATAAATAGTCACGAAAAACTTTTACGAAATTACCCTTACACCTTCAACGTCTAATTTTTGTGGCATTCGCGACAAATTATTAGTCACTAAAAGGTACGTTTTGCAACTAATTGATTAGTCGCGATAAAATTTTACCAAATTATCCTTGCACATTTAACGTCTAAGTTGGGGACTATTTCAACTAGCAATTAGCGACTAATTTGTTAGTCGCCAAAAAAATTTTTTCGCATCTAACCAACTTTTTAGATGCCCATACTTTATATGACAACGATTTTGCAACTACGTGACGACTACGAAATTTAGACGTGTAAGACATTTAGCGTCAAATTTTACTATCAGCGTCTAATTTTGCTAGACGCTGAAAGCCATTTTTCTTGTAGTGACTTTTTTATTTTGTAACCGGAGTGTTAGGACCAGCTTATGCGTGTCTCAACTAATCTCCGGGGTCTATTGAACACCCTGCAAGTCACATATAGGTAAGTCATAATATTACTGTAGTAAGTGATCCCAAAGTTTGAACCCAAGAACTTAAGGAAGGGAGCAAACCTCCTTGATGGTAATCCCTTGAGGTTAAAAGCTAGGGTACAACCTCCAATTTGGTTCTAATGAAAAGGAAACAATTTCTATTGTTCAAATTAACAAAAACATAATATATATGAAATATAATAACTCTTTAGATTTGAGCAAGTGGGCAATGGAAGATTATGAATGAATGAGACAAGACAACAACATGTAATCAATGAACAATTGATCATTTCATGGCAACTATTAGTATATGCTCCTTCAAATTTTCTATATTAAAGGGTCTGGCCGGCTATTTTGCCCATTGATTTTGTGCTTAATATATCCCCAAAATGTCCTCTTTTCTCAATAAGCCAAGTGAAAGTATACTAAATCTTAACTACAAAAAAATAATGAAAATTAAGAGCAAATTTAATCTATCCAGAGATATTCACATTATCTTTTCAAGTCAATTTTTGTCTCTAGAGTCAGTCAACTATAAATGACAAAATATATAAATATAAAGCGAAAATAAAAATATTTACTGGGCTTATTATAAAGTTAATAATTATAAAATTAAGCATATAAAAGTTAAAATTATCACAACATAAATTAGATATTGTATTTGTAAAAATAAAATTTAAATTTTTAATATTTATTATTATTACTATGTTATATTATGTAGATGAAAAATAGAAGAGAAGCAAGTGGCTGGCGTGGCGGATGCGTTTAAGTAAACAAAAGACAAAAGAGCAGACTTTACATACTTACCGGCTGTACGCTTTTAGGAGTACCCAATGCACTGCTGCCTTCTCTGTTATTCCTTTTAAGGCTTTAACAACTATCATGTTTTTTTTCTATTTCTTTTATCTTAAGCCTCCAACCAAGACTCCTTCCTTTTCCTTTTTTGTCTTTCTACATGAAGATCAAAACTTGGAACAGTTGTAAAGTTTATTCCTTGTCATGGTCTCCACATCAACCAGAGTTATAAACACTCAAGTCAATTGCCCCTCTGGCTCTGAGTCAGTTCTTCTTCTTCATTCCTTTCTGGGTTCTGCTGATTTTAAGGTATGCTTCATGGGTTCTGATCTTGTATTGGTTTTGTTGTGGTTTTTGTTAAAAGTTTGTTTGATCTTGTTGTTGTTTGTTGTGTTTGCCATTGTAGTGGTTTTGGTAGGATGAAGTACTTTTGGCTTTATGATATTGGAAATCTGATGAGTAATATTGTTTCTGTGTAAGTCAAGATTTATATAATCAATTGCGCCTTCTGCATATGTTGGTACCTGGCTCTTTTGTAGGATAAGAAGAGATCAAGAGAATTCTTCTTAATTAAATTTTACTTTTCCTATTGGTTCTATGTATGTGCAAAATAACAACATTCTAAAAGACTGATCCTGTAAATTGTGTAAGCCAGGTTGTGGTCTTACTCTACCAAAAACAAATGGGTTCTTTTCTGCACTTTTTAGATTAATGGAACAAAATTATAGCAAAACGCTATAGGAAGGCGGTGTTGAAGGGCTCCTGCATCCAACCATATTAGACCTTTCTTTTTCTAACCCATCTCCACATGTTGGTAGCTGACTTTCTGCTACTCCTGTATATGTTTAGACGCAAACAAGAACAATAGGAAGAAGTTTTGCCTGTGCCCTTAATTTTTCTTTCCCTGGTATCCTTTACTATTTCCAGCCTTGCTTCACCTGAAAGAGATGTTCTTGACTGGATTCTTTTGACATTTTGTGGCTGGCATTGTAACACTAATGTATTTTTTTTCTTTCTTAATTTAACTTTGGCCTGTGTCCTTATTTGAATTATCGATATTTCCTATTTTGAATTTTATTGTCTTTTGTTCTTCTTGAAATAGGATTTTAAGTTTCAAGAAAAATTTTGCTGATATTTGAAAAAGGGAGCCTGTATCAGTTTTTTCCTGCAAGATGTTTTCATTGCCTGAAGTTCAGAAGAGACCAAAGAATGGCTCCTAAAGGTGATTTGGTTATTATTGGCATCTGTGTGGGTTTGGCCCTTGGCCTTTTGTTAGCTGCACTTGCGTTTTTTGGCATAAGATGGTACAAGAAGCGTGCTCCTCTGTGGCATACAAATGAACGAAGTGTTGCTTCTCATCCTATACGCACAAATGGCTTGGGTACAAGCACTGATTTGAGTGCTTCACTTTCAAGTTCCGTAGCTGTTAAGGGTCCACAATACTCTCAGAAAAGCTCTCAGCCTTCTTGGTGGAGTCATCACAGTAAAGACCGTTTTGTTTCTGTATCAGGCATACCTAGATATCCTTACAAGTAAGGAAATTTCAAAACCCTAGATAATTTCGATAATCTTTATTAGTGTATCCAAGTTATATAATAATTTCTTTGAAACTCAAGTTTATGATACAATTTCTAAACAAGTTTGTATGTAGTTGTATTTTTAAATATAGTCCTTCTCATCTTGGGCCTAAAGAATCTAAGGGTGAGAATAGAATTTTAAAGGGTACTCAGTTATTATCTGTTTGAATGAAATTTGAGTTTTAATTTCCGTACATAAGAAAATGACAATGATCACAATTTCAGGGATATTCAGAAAGCTACACAAAATTTCACTACTATACTAGGACAAGGATCTTTTGGTCCAGTATATAAAGCGGCAATGCCCACAGGAGGAGTAGCAGCTGTAAAGGTGCTTGCTTCTAATTCAAACCAGGGAGAGAAAGAATTCCAAACAGAGGTAAGGGCTACATTTAAAAAAAATTATGCTAGCAGGAAGTTTTGTTTTACCCACACATTATGCACATCCAAAGAGAAAAAATGATCATTAGTATATTACATGACATGTATTGACCATGCATGCCTCTGTGTCCTAAGAGAAAATGTGCTCATTAGTACCAAGCATTATGAATTACCAATTTGGATATAGTATGTCCAAGAGGATCAAATGAATGTAAGTTTCAAATTATAAACTCTTATAGAAAATTTGCAAACTATGTTCGTTTGCTCTTTACGTGATTGAAATTAGTATTAAATTTTATACATATTCGCATTTGAGTCCCTATTGCTTTTCAATTACATTGTCTGGTATTTTTGCAGGTGTGTCTGCTTGGAAGGTTGCATCATAGGAATCTTGTGAATTTGATAGGATATTGTGTAGATAAAGGACAACACATGCTAATATACGAGTTTATGAGTAACGGGAGCTTGGAAAACCATATATATAGTAAGCTTAGAAGCCTTATTTGTTGTTATACAGAGAATTTCTGTTCCTTCTTCTAGTATTTGCTTACTGCGAAATTTTCAAATATATATGAAACGAATACTTTTATCTAAGAACAATTGAATGGTATTGTTATGTTTAAAGTCATTGTTTTTCCATGAAAAGGTTTACAATAAAATCATTTTGTGTGGATAATGCTGCCATCTTGCGAGAACTTTCTGATTGTATTTTGTACTAATGGCTAACCATTTAAACTCAAAACTTCCCAGTGAATGGTGTAATGTAACCATTGAGAATTGAGCGACTGCCAATAACATAGATGAGTATACTGTCAAAACACAATTTAATTAAGAGGTCCTGGTATGTGGAGACATGGTGCACAACTGATTTGCAAGTATGGAAATTGAATGAGCAAGTCATAGGTTTTATCCAGTTCAATGTCATTTTTGCCAAATTTATCAGTTATCATAGATGAGGTCGCAACCCTTGTGACGACACCTAGAAATGCAAAAGTCGAAAACATCAAACTTCAATAATTTATCTGATTTGTAGTTGTCGTATTGTATGGCTTGTGTAAACTATGATCAATGCTTGCGGTTCATAAAGAATTTTGCTTCTGTGATTCTTCAAATGTTTCATGCAAAACTGCATCTTAATGTTGATTGTACACATGAAAACTTGTGCTCAGATTTACCTTGGTTTATTTTACTGTTTATCACGTGATATGAAGTGGCACTTGGACTGCTCATTATTTGAATTTTTTTTTAATATTCATCCTGCTGTATTGGCACTAGGTGAAGAAAAAGTTCTGAGTTGGGAAGAAAGGTTTGAAATTGTTCTTGATATATCACATGGAATTGAGTATCTTCATGAAGGGGTATGTTTAATGATACATCTAATGTTTCCTTGACACAAAAAAAAAAAAAAAAAAAAATTATTCATCTATTTTCTTCATCCTACATTCTTGAAACAGGCAGTTCCACCTGTTATACATCGCGATTTAAAGTCAGCTAATATATTGTTAGACCACTCCATGAGAGCTAAGGTGAGCTAGCATACCGAAACCGTCTTTTGATACATACATTAGACATCAACTGCAAATTTTAGGTCTCTGGTTGAGCCAATATCATGAAAAGAAAGAATGAGAGATCACAGTTACTGGTCTCAGTCAGCTGAGTTTTGCATTCTTCATATTTTATTAATACTATACTTATAACACAATCTCATAAACTTTCTCTTATAACCCCGACATGGCAACTCGTAATAGATCCTGCCTACCCAATTACGAGCTACCACGTTGAGGTTGTAAAAGAAAATTTATAAGATTGGATTGTGAGCCAATCTTTATTGATAACCATTTCGTTTATGTGCTTTACATTCATAACTGCCCTGTGATAGGTTGCTGATTTTGGGCTGTCAAAAGAAGAGGTCTTCGATGGCCGAAACTCTGGTCTAAAAGGAACATATGGATACATAGATCCAGCTTACATTTCTACAAACAAGTTCACGATGAAAAGTGACATCTTCAGTTTTGGTATTATCATCTTTGAGCTCATAACAGCCATCCATCCACACCAAAACTTAATGGAATATGTTAATCTTGTAAGTCTTTTCTATCCGGGAACTCCTTATCAATCTTTTCAACCTCAAGACCCTTTTGAAATAGCCATTTTGTTTGTTTGTTTGTTTGTTTGTTTTGAAGGCTTGTATGAGTCCGGATGGCGCAGATGAAATTCTTGATAAGAAACTGGTTGGAGCATGCAATATTGAAGAAGTTAGAGCACTGGCAAGAATGGCTCAGAAGTGCTTGCACAAAACTCCCAGAAAACGACCTTCGATAGGAGAAGTTACACAGGTTATACTGAGGATAAAACATCGGCGCCTTGCCAAAGAAGACACAATGTCTTTTGTTGATAGAGATTCTTCCTTTTCACGAGTCGTAAGCCGGATAGAAGGTCAACAAATTGAGCTGAGTAAGTTGGCTGAGACGAGGGAGAGGCATGAAGAAGTGTGATTGGTTTTTTCAGTCTCGTTTTGATTTAGGGTTTTAAGTTTTGACCATCAGCCTTCCCTGGTAGTAAATATTTTAAATTTCTAAAATCTACACAAGCATAAGTTAGTGTTATAGAAGAACCCTGTCATTCTGGAAAATTTATGAACATAAATCCCACTATAGCATTTTATGTTCATTCTGAAAAATAAAAAACTAATGGCCTTAATTAACCTAGAGTTGGCTAGATAAAACATGATAACAGAAGGTGCAGCCATTACAGAGTCATTTCAAGAGCTAATAAATTTAATACAAAAACAAGTTCACTATTGTTTGCATTTCTTAGCAGATAAGATTAATATAAATACATTTAACTTCGGCTTGCATTCTTATTTTTATAATATATTCAACCTACTCTAACTTTGAAAGCAAGAGTAGTGCAACCAAAATTCTTTTAGTAGTAAAAAGTCATGATATGGAAGAAAGTAATACATACGATTTGGTAAACAGAGTTCCTCCACCGGCAGAGTTGATGAGTGGATCTGTCAACTTCTGAAAACATGTACTAAGATAACTCCAAATCGACAATATAAACCCTCCTCTTCAGAAAAACCAACACATTTCTGGTTTGCTTGGTTTGCATGTCCCCATATCTTTCAATTTTAGTATTCCAATTACCATGATCTCCGGTATTAATTCCTCAAAACCGGCATGAAGTTCCCAGCCTCTGTTTCTGCCTCTGTCCTGCACTTTCTGATTTATGATTATTAAAAGCAGGATACAGCAATTTCTGGAAATTGTCAAGGTACTGCATCCACTCCTCTTCATTCATATCAGCCAGCTTCACAAAACTTGTGCTTCCAGGCAGCTGCTCATTCACACTCCTGTTTCCAGATGACGTACCAGCCAAACAACCAATTTTCTGCATTTTAACTTCATGTCGCCAACTTTTTTCCCCAATGCTGATGTTTTTCATAGACATGGACAACGTTGAAAAAGATGGAGCCCTGCACCGCATAGGGCTAACATTTTCATCTGACCTGAAAGGTGTCACATTCTCCTCACTCTCTGTCTCCTCCTCCACACTCTCCTCTAGACTGAAAAGAGAATTACAACCATTTATACTTTTGGACTCAGAAGATAAACTTTTGGCAGCCAGTTTCTTATCCATATTTAAAGTAAAATCAAACTCCAGTTCCTCACAGTCAATTTCGAACTGATATTCTTCACCGACTCCTGCTTTCACATCATTACAAAGTGTTTTCCTCCTTTTTAACAGTCTCCTTGCCTCAATGCATATAAACTCAAGCTCACTTGGCTCCTCCTCATGACCTAGAAATTGCCTACTCATCATCTCACCAATCTCAGAAAGACATAGACCAAAAGCTGCTGCTTCCTTGAGGAAAATTGTGCAAAGAACCAAGACCCTGAGACATGCCTCTCGAATCATGGGAAGTTCCATTCTAAGCATTTCAGAATCATGAAATGGGTCAAGATGATCTATATAATCAAGCTCGTCATCTGAGAAAGGAATTGATGCTTGTGGCCAATGAATCCATTCAAAGTAGGGGTCCTCCAAGTTCTCCGGCAGGCAAAGGCCATGATCAATGGGTACGAGTTCAACTTGACTAAAACTCCCGGTTCCATCACACTTCCTGACCAAAAGGTTTCCACCATGTCTATCTGTGTTCAGAATCCGAATATCTAAAATCCCAATCCTATGAACAGCAGAAACTGGAAAACTTGAAGTCCCATAATCACTGGCATCAAAATCGTGAGGGATGTACTGCTGCAATGAAGCAATCTTGCTGATTCGTTCCTTCTCTTGATTCTTGTTTCAATTAACTCCATCATTGATATTGAATATTGAGTGTGTGACCTTTACAAGAGCAGTGCAGGGCACATTGGCAAAATTATCATAGTCAAGAAGGTAAGCAGCTACTTCTCTGAATCCTGTCTCCCCAACCCGCAATGAACGTTTCAGACCAGGCTGCCCAAGAGCTTTACCGACAAAACCTTTAGGATTGTTTGGAGCATATGGTTCCTCATCCGTTGGCTTCACAATAGCAACATTTTCACCTTTGCAATTTCTAAAATAGTAAGCACCTCCTAGCCCACTACGAACAGGAATTGGATCAATCCCTATTTTAATTGACTTAATAATTTTCTTCACTAGCTGTTTTGTTTTGGAAAAGTGATTCGTGTGTGCTAATATCTCAATCGGACTGCTTTGATCTCTTAGATGAAGATCTTTACCAGTCGGTGAGAGACATGGGGTAGATGAACTTCTGTGCATAAAATTCCTGGTGAGAAGAAGTGGAGAATCATTTCTAACAGCACTAAGATCATTCTTTAAAACCATATCCCCATAAATCAATGAAATCTCCTCTGTTGGGACATTGAGGGCAAGCCGTAATTTTCTTTTCACTGTGTGGGCATTGTCACTCCTTTCTAACTCCATACACAAAACGCAACCTGTCTCAGTCTGGACAAATACACGCCTCCTTCCAGAATATTTTCTATCCATTCTCTTATTTCCACAATGGTCACCACTAAGGTGCCCTCTAAAAGCTGCAATAGCCATCTGAGTATTAACAGGGCATTCCAGTTCAGGAGACATGAAAGGAAAAGGAGAAGCAGTAAACTACAGCCCCAACAGCAGAGAAGGCGGCAGCAGACAGCTTCTCTTTCAGGCAGACGCCAAACTCAAACACTGGCCATGACCGGAGGGAAATGTTTCTGTTGTAAACATCCATAATCAACCCAGTACAATACAATCTACTTCAATGAATCTCACATTGGATCAGATCTGTAAGTATACCAATTTGTGACACTGCTACCTTGGAAGAACCACCTGATGATGCTGGCTATGGAAAGTAAAAGAATAGTCAGAAATAAAACTGAGAAGCAAACATAATCACACAAACATACACACAAAACAAAAAAAAAAAAAAAAACAGAATAAATACTTGATTTTAAATGAAAAGGAGAGGCTCTGTTTAACCAAACTACACACAACCTCCAAAAATCTGCTGGTCTTCTGATAAGGGAAGGTAACATGACAAGTCACTAAGGTGGGAAGTTCAATAAATACTTGATTTTAAACATCCAAGATAATAACTTATTGAGAATTTATTGCCACTTTGCAAGATTATAACAATTAATTAACATGATTTAGTCAAGATATACAATCTAAAAATATATAAGATGAGTGACTTGTTCGGCAATCGCAATCTTGGATTTTAAGATTTAACTGGAGTAAGTTTTCTCTTCTGCACCGTTAAATGAGAAATTGATTGCCACCAAACCAAGAATATTTCAATAAATTTTCTAATCCACTTGATATATCATCCAATTCCAAATGTGGGTAGAAAAAGAAAATGAAAAGAGCCCCAAATTGTAGTAATCCACATTCTTTCCAAACAAAATAATTTCTTCTAGTTAAAAGTTCAAAAATTTAGGTGCCAATAAAAAGATATATAAATATATATTTGCTCAACCATCATAAACATAAACAAGCCAAATCCCTAGGGGAGAAATGGGAAAAATACTTGCCTAAGTGTTTCTATTCAAACTTGCCTTTCGTTTAGTGCAGGCACCCGGAGGTGTCAGCTAGTAAAGTCACTTGGAAATCGAACTATGGGCTCGGAAGTATTTCTCGTCTCCATCAGGGATTGAGAGTGTAGCCCAGCCATTGAATCGAAAAAACAAAAATGAAAAAGATAATCAATCAAATTTTCTGATCCATACACAAACTATCATTACATAACATTTTTGGAAAACCCCACGTGATCCAATAGACAGAAAAAAAATTGCGTAAGCAAGCTATCTAGAACCCAGATAAAAGAGTTATAATAACATTTGCTGTAACTTTAAATAAGTTACACTTAACCAAGAAACCAATTTTACCCAAAAAAAAAAAAACACTCAGCTACATCTGTTAATTCTATTATGTTCAAATTATGAATTCTTTCATGAGTTGAAATGAAACATTATTCTCTAAAAGATACAAAAAATTATCCTCGTCTATTTAATTAGACACGTTAGGTCAATTTATTCTCCAAAAAAGAGAGAATCAAGACCCTTCCAGAAAGCAACAGTTTCTAACAAAGGCAAACCTTAAAGGGAAAAAAAAATACCCTAACCTCTAAAAAGATCTTAAAAAATAAATAATTATCCAGTCAAATAATTTACAGATGAAAATTCGCATAATATTTCATCAGATAAAATAATAACCATGGTACCAGTTAAAATTTAGATCAAAACGACAGTCAATACATGAAATTACTCTTCTTTTACAAGTAAAGCAGGATGAATCTGAGACAGATTAGTTTTCTTCTATTTTTTTTTATTTTTTTTTTTTATATAGTAGTGAAAATCTATTAATATCAGGACTCTGTGTTTTATTTGATTTAGAGTTTCCTGTAAATTATTTTGTTGGTCAATCATTCTTGTAAATTAGCAAAACCTGTCGTCGGTTCCTACATTTATTTACTATTAACTTCAAGTCATAAGCTAAAACGTTATTTAGCTCCATATCTTAAATTGACACAGCGAAATAAGATTTTAGCCAACAGCTTGAAGTTAATAGTAAATAGCTCTGGTAAGAGCAAATAAATACCTGATCCACTCACCGTTTCTGAATATACGAGAAGATAATTCTCAAAGAAGTTTTCTGAAATATTATTGATAATTATGAAAACAACAAACATATATACATAATAAAACAATCTTTCTACTATTTAATATGTAAATCAAATAAAACAAGAATCTTAACCAAAACAGAAACTAATAATTAAAATCTGATAGGACCTAAAAGAACTAATCCGACTCAATTTCATCGTGAGTGAATAATTTAAAGCACACAAAAGTAAAAACCTTATTAACAATTTCTCCAGTAATATTGTAAAAAGAATCATCACAGTTACTGAAACAGGATTTACGAAATACAAGATCAATAACAGAAGTTCCCGCGTAAAATGTTTATGATTTCACCGTACGACTGGTATTTCAACGGAATTTCTCAGGAAACAAACGTGAAAGTAATTACAATCGGAAGCTCGAAATTCGGAAAAACTTACAGGAGATTGGCAACGTCAGGACGAGGACAGCCGAGACAGACGGTGTGCAACTGTTGCTGATGAGATGTACGGTCGAGATTCAGAGTGAAAAACTAGATGAACGGCTGTAGTTCACTGATTCCCTCTCCTCTCTCTCTCCCGCTTTTGGGCGATATTCTAACTTCTTCTCAGGGGAAACGGGGGGTTTTAACGGAAAAATTAAATTAAATTAAATTTAAATATATTGTGGTAGCGGTGACACTATCTGCATGGAGATTGAGCCACGTAAGGGACAAGGGCCCACCCGTTTGGAATCGAATTCTATATTTTATAGATTGAAATAATTTTACCTGGTACCTCTCATCTTTCGTTAATTACGATAGAGACAAGATTTAGCAATTTTTGTTAAAAAAATACCCTCACTTGTCAGAAATTATTTACCATTTTTATAGCCGGTCGTCCATGGTCAACAAGCACGTTCATTGACATTGTGAGTCACTAAATGGATGATATAATGTTATTATGGTAAGGAGTCTTAATGTTTAAACTTAGAAACTCAAGGAATAAATAAAACCTCTTTGACCATTAGACCAACTCCTTTAAATTATTGCCCTAATATATTTATTCACGTGGATCAGTATATGTCACTTAGAGAGAAGAGTTTTTTGTCATAATTAGGGATGGCAACGGAGTAGGAAGGTCTCCCACATTCCCCACTTCACTTTGAATTTTGGTTTTTATTTCCCACCTCATTCCCTCAAATTATTTAGGCAAAATCCTCTCATGAGGAGTGTTTATCTAAACAAGATGAAAACAAGTACATAATAAAACTAACAAATACTATATAACTCATATTAAAAATAAATAACATTTTAATTAAACAAACCATTATTATATAATATTAATATTCTAAATAATAAAAAAGTCATACTATATTGTACGAACGTAAAAATATAATTAGAATAATATTATAGTGGAGAATGAGACGACATTAAAGTGAAGAGTATTATTTTTAATGTAAAGATATCATTTGTTCTCTAAACGCAGTAGTACAGTACGTAGAATAACATTCTCGTTGTTGTCTACTTGTCGTGATAGAAGTGGTTCCACATTTAAAGATAAGAAACATCGATCTCAGAATCTTTCTTTATTGCTTGCTTATCGTGAAATTGAAAATGAAACAAAGGTGATAAAACACCTAAGAATATTCAGTGATGTGTGCCACAATATTGAGTAGAGCTCAAGCAAGCGGAGGGTAATTGGGTCATTTGAATAGTTAAGGACAAAATAGTCATTCTACCTCAAGCACCATTTAAAAATGGATCGCTCGTGAACCCAAAAAGGTGGCAAACCTTTCTTATGCATGTAAATTAACTTAAATCCAAGGGTAGTCAATTCGTTCCAAGTCCTCCCAAGTTCTTATATGATTTTTTTTTTTTTTTTTTGATAATTGAGGGTATTCAGGTCAATTTGCATATACTTTAGCCTTTAAGTTAACGATTGAATATACCCTCCAATGGCATCACTATTAACAATCGAAGTGACTGAAACTCAGAATCTTTTAAATAATACACTCATTGTTATATAAAAGTAGATGATGACAGTCCTAAAGAAAGCTTATTGTCCATGATATTAGATTTATATGAATTTTTTTTTATAGAAAGAAACTTAGTTCATACAAATACAATACCATACATGTAGATGCAAAAATCTACCTTTACGAAAATAGGGACTGATCCTGTAAGGTTGAGGCTATTAGCGATCTGTTACACCTGTATACGTAAGAAAACAAGCGTGAAGTGGACAGAAAACATCAGGGTGGTGTTTTCCATAGACACTCCGATGATCAAGTCAGCAAGGCTAAGTGAGGCTAATTTAGTGAAGGTTAGGGAAAGAAAAGGTTACTAGAAGTCTAGTCGGAGATTGTAACTACGACTTTAATGCGAAGTTCTCAAGAGTGGGAACTCCAATGTCTAAAGGTGTAATGTCTCTGTGCTTTGTGAGAGGGCTAACCTTTGTTTAAATAGCGACTGTAGGGTTTTTGAATCCTGATGGGATTGGAAGTCCTTACAGTTGTAGTTTTGTGAAAGAGTGGAGCATTTGGCTCCCTTAACTCAGTAGGAAAGGGAGTCCCAACGTGTCTAGGATACAGATCTTAGATAAATTAGGGTAGTGATTGACCTTTTTAGTAGAGTTTTGATAGTACCAGAGTGCGTAGACGACCTTGGGCTCCAAGTAGATCTTAAGTCTAAAAGATGTTTTAGGATCAGAGTGTCTGGGCCCAGATAAGCTGGCAATGAGGCCTAAATGAATTGGGCCTCTGCTAATTGGGTTCAAATGGTGAGTAATTGGGTAAGCATACCGAATGGACCTCATCTGTGGAACTCTGTTGTGGGCCTAATTGGAATTGGGCCTCAGGTTCAGCTTTATTGAAAGTGTCTTTGTCTTTGGGACTATTTGGGCCGAAGACTTTTTTTTGCCCTAACAATACACTCACCGCCACAGTCCACCGTTTGCTTATCTCGGCCGACGGTGCTTCTCCAACCCCATTGCACAAACAGAGAGATCATCACCGGTTTCATGACGCAACAGGAGGAGATCATCACGTCGAAAATCCCTGGAAATGGTAGGCATATATGTCTGTGGCGTCATCACCTACGAACTCAGCCACCTCCGCCACGCTTGCGCCGCCATCACCCTCGACGTTCGCTACATGTCTTCTCTTCATCACGTTAGAAGTTATACAGCGAAGCGAAGTTTTGTGTGCGGAAATGAAAAGGTATTCGATATATTTGTTTGTTTGTTTCTGAAAGCACAAAGGATGAATGAGAAAACAAACCCATAACCGAAAAAACATTTTCTAATCATCCTTGGATTTATTGTATTTTTAATTTATTCAAAAGGTCAGCTACCTTTTCATTTTGGAGTGAGCTCAACTCTTTGTTCTTTAAAAACAAATCCAAGAAACCATAAACAAACACATATTTCACGAATTTCATGGGTTGAAAAATGAAAACATCAAAACCTGAACATAGCCTAAAATACTTGGAAATTCGATGGTTTGGTTAAAGTTTATTGGTGCCTCTTTGGTACAACATAGATGGTTTAATATTTCTCTTGATTTAACTAGAAGGTGATGCGATCCAGCATTGGAATTTTGATCAGCAAGCAGCAAAATTTTCTCAATTTTCTTCACCACTTCATTCATTGTAGGCCTGTCATCTCCTGATTCCTCCACACACCTCATTGCTACATCCACAAACTTTTCAAAACCTTCAATAGTTGTATCCAAACCAATGGTTGGGTCAAGAAATTCATAAAGGTTGTATAGATCTTTATCCTTATCCTTTGCTACCTTTATTTCTCGCTTTATCGGTGCTCTTCCAGTTAATAGTTCCAACATCAGCACTCCAAAACTATAAACATCACTTTTTTTTGTCAACAGATCGGTCCTGTAATACTCAGGATCTACATAACCCTACACCGAAAACAATCATTTCTCAGGCATACAGTTGTATTGTGTATCCACTATATTATCATATGCATATATGAATAGAGCAGTACTCACCGGTGTTCCTTTAACTTGAGTGGTGATATGACTCTTTCTGGTATTATCAACAGGTTTTGAGATACCAAAATCAGCAACTTTTGCGTTTAAGCGTTCATCCAGCAATATGTTGGCTGACTTGACATCTCTATGTATAATAGGAGGATTGGCAAATTCATGTAGATATGCTAGGCCTCTAGCTGCACCAAGGGCTATTTTTAGTCTTGTTATCCAATCCAATGTGATTCCAGACTTTCCTGCATATTTTTATATAGGATGAAAATAATTTCGAATTACCAGTCTGTAATGAAAGAATGCAGGATATCATGGAGCAGTGTTCACAAAGTAGGCTATTGGAGAATCAAATTGGAGAGAAATACCTGATAAACTATCCTTTAAAGAACCTTTTGGAATATACTTGTATATCAGAATTTGTTTGCCTTCTTCGAAGCAAAATCCCAGAAGGCTGACAATATTCTTATGATGGACTCTTGACAGAAGCTCAATCTCAGTTTTGAATTCTAGTGAACCTTGTGCAGATTCTTGTTCAGCTCGTTTTATGGGAATCAGTTGTCCTGTGGGAAGAGTTCCTTTATAAACCTGCAAAGATGTGTGACAGAATATGAACTCTGAATGTATTGATGGTGGTTCTAAAATTTGAAATTACTGAGCTTATCCGGATGTGAATTTGAGTATACATGGTACATTCAACTTATGGGGCAATATTGAATTGTCAGGGAGAGACAGAATCAAACCTTTCCATAACCCCCAGATCCGATAATGTTGGCTTCTGAAAAATTGTTTGTGTATTCACTAAGCTCCTGAAAAGAGAAGCGCCTTGCTTCTTTCAGGTCAGGAATGCCACCATTGCTTCTGTTCATCTCCAAGTGTACTGCATTTATGCAATATAAAATCAATTAGCCACTTCCAAACTGTAAAATTCCTAGTGTAAATCCTTAGTATACCAAAAGGGTTCTGTTGATTTGCTATCTCTGCACTCCTCTTCCTATGATAAACATAAGCCCCGGCGATGAGTAAAAGTATCAAAATGACAAAACCACCGACTGCTGCTCCAATGATAATGCCAATGCTTGTTGGCTTGCTTGATTCTGAATTATTTGATTCTGTAGGTTGTACGGAAAGACGACATGCACACACAGGTTTAGTAATATCAGCTGAAAGCAACACTAAAACGACTCATTTATTTTGTATTTGGACAGCAGGATTACCAGAAAAGTTCTGATATGGATGAGCAATGAAGACGTAAGGTCCAAAAATTTCTGAAGGCTTGTAAGTCTGGTTGCTGAGAGCAAATCCAATCCTAGAAATTCCTGTTCTATTGAATCGCTCTTCACTAGCTGGAAATACTTGTAGGCTCACTTCCAGGTACTCTAACGAATTCTTGCGTGGATTATGAAGAGAAACTGAATCCACAGGGAGCTGATTCAAGTCAAAAGATTGCATCAAAGATGCCTCGAGATATACATAGTAACTTGAGTTTCCCAAGTATGAAAAAGTAGGAGCTCTAAAGGATAGAGTTCCTGTATATGGGTATGCACATTTGCATCTGGGGCTAGAAATCTGATCCGAATTGCAGGAAATGGGTTGACAGTTCTTCAGTGCAGTTGAATAATTGAAAGTTTTTCCGCGTGCCATGCAGGAACTGTTTAATTCACTTCGACACATTGGGTTACCTGCAAGTCTGTCAGAAAATTATTTAGAATTTTGAATCGAAATGTCCAAGAACTAATTAGTGACACAGTTTCAGAGTTAAGCTTTACATGAAGTCAACATTATCCGGTGCTCCTCTTTCTGTAAAATCAATAATAAAATTGTTCTGCAAATCAACGAGTTCCAACTGGCTGCTATAGCTAGTACCAATATCCAAGGTGCCATTAAGCTGATTACTTTTCAAAACCCTGTCACCAATGTGTCAAAATTATCACATGGGGATTTCTTACTGAATTAGGAGCCAAAAGAACTATTTGGTGTGCTTCATTTTTGGAATGTCAGTTATCCTGGAATTGACTATGATACTCACAGTGTCTGTAGACGGGAAAGGCTGAACAAGTCAGAAGGAACTACACCTTGAAGCTGAGTATTTACCATCATTCTATCACACAAATGGTTGGTCAATCTCCTTCTAGTTTAAAATAAAAAACATGCACATGCAAGACTTAAGCATAGCAAGTAAATCTAGTGTATACCCATGACGAGGAGAACGTGAAGACAGAAGCGAATTCAAGGAAACCAGTTTGGAAATCAATTAACCAGGTGCAGACACACGATGATTCATATGAAGAGTAAAAAAAAAAAAAAGTGAAGGAAAGGGAGACATACAATGTTGTTAAGGACTGTAAGGTTGAAAACCATGAAGGAACATCGGAAGCATTGAAAGTGTTATTACTCAAGTCCCTGCATATCATATTTTGGTTACAAAATGAAATTTTATGTCTATATTGCAGATATAAATACACTTGGTAAAACTACTGATCTACTTACAAGTAGCTGAGGAGGTTCATGCCAGTGAGATCAGGCATTAGACCAGTCAAATTATTATTGGACAAAAACCTGAGAAACCAACCCATGAACACACATTATGACTTCTCTAAAACAAGTATTCAAGCTCATTTGCCATCTCTCTTGTGTCAGCTTACAGTGTTTTAACTCTTGCAAGATCATCAAGGTTTGAAGGAACAGACCCACTTAAGATATTCCTATCAAAGCGTCTGTAATTAACATCGGAAACTCATCAGAAGTTTTTTCATGAAAAATTTCCATTGAAAATCCCTGTCAGGAAGCTACCACTAGTAATGTACGTGAAATGTAGATACTCACACAACTCTCAGAGTTAACACAAGTCCAAGGGTAGAAGGAATAATGCCTGTTAGTTTGTTGTCTTCGAAAAACCTGGCCAAAGAGAGGAAAATTTGGATGAGAAGTAAAGAATTTTACAGAAGCCTGCTGCAGCTATTTGAAAGAAGCAAAGAAGGCATTTCAGCTGCAGAAGAGCCCCACAAATATCTTAAAGCTAACATATATATGAAAATCCTCAAGTGCAGATATCCTGATCCTTTTAAATCAGGACAGGGACTTTTGACGTGAGGAATGCTGTCAAAAACAAGAAGATCTGCAAGATGTGTAAGTCAATAAAAAACTATAATGTAACTTACACATGTATCAGTTCCATGTTTGAACTGAAAAGTTTATTTGGGATTGTGCCTGAAAGTAGATTATGCTCTAGATGACTGCAGATGAAAGACAGAACTTTACAATACATTTAAAATACAGAAAACAAGCTCAAATTAGGTAAAAGAACTAGAAACTCTTAAGACACTTGGACATACAAATGCTTTGTTTGAACTAGCATATCGAGACCAGATGAAATTCCATCAGAGACTGGAATTGGCCCTGTAAGTTGGTTATCAGCAAGATCCAGCCAATAAAGTTTAGATAGTCTACCAATGGAAGGTGGAATCTCTCCACTGAAGTTATTGGAGTTTAAACTCCTGCATGCAATGGCAATGACAAGTTTATGAAGAGGAATTTGCAAGATCCTGAAGATAGCATATTATTAACAATTCTTATACAGTCAAAATTCTTACAGAAAGACCAGTTGCTGTAGAGATCCAATAGAGTCAGGAATTTGGCCAGAAAAACTGCAACCCACCAGGATTCTGGTATGCAAAATAAACAAATCATGCTTCGTGAGGTTCTAACCACAAAAGTTTTCTGCTGTCAGCTAATGCGTTTACAAGAATATATCTCCTTACAAACTTGTTAGATTCTTCAAATCACCAATTGATGATGGAAGTGATCCTCTCAGGTCCTCGTTGTAGGATAAATCCCTATATGAAGAACAGTTCAATCGAATATAATGATTAAGAAACACTAGTAACACCTTGACTAAATTTTGCAGTCTTTTATGTAACTGTAAGGAATCGAGATAGAGACAGAGAGATTGGGACACAGGGAAACAGTTCAAGATAATGACACTGCCAAAGTATGCCCAAGAGAAGAATTTTTGCATATACGAAATCCCTGTAATTTGTTCAATCAATCACATGAATTAATCACTCCTTAATCTCAACCAGCAGAGATCAAGGGAAATCAATCAATAATAATGAATGATGGATCAATATTTTACGGAATGAGGAATGGATGATAGAAAGACGTACAAAATCTGCAACTCTGATAAGATAGTTAAATCTGTAGACAGAGTACCTGCCACTCCCATGCTTGTTAAAATTCTGAAAAGAGGGACAAGGCAGAATAAGAAGGCTTCAATTAGCATCAACACATAAAAAGAAATTCTGGAGTCATCCTCCGGAAACTTACATAGAGATCACACGTGAATTGTTGCATCCAATTCCTTCCCAGTTGTCACCACAAGGATCTGAACCCACCCATCTCGGGGGTATGTTATCCCATGTATCCTTGAGAGAATTTAAAACAGCCACTGCATCAAAATGAAAAAGAAAAATTTCCATGAGTCATCCACCATAAACCGAATTATACAATTCAGAAACCACTTCACAATTTAAGTGAATAAAGAAAAATGGGGTATCCTGAAGAACAGCCAGCTAATGATATAATTACAGATAGCTATAAATATGCGATTCATTTGCATATCAAGAACCATGAAAATATTAACCAAACAATTAATGTAAACTTACAATCTTCATCATCAGTCTTCGCAGCTATACATTGCATGTAAACTAATAACAAAAAGACTTGAATTCTCGGACCCATCTCCAAACAAAGAAAAATATGGCACAAATCAAGTTAAAAAGAAGTTTAAAATTGGTCACTTTTGCTTAGAACCAGAACTCATTTGATATCAGTGCCAGGACGATGGAATTACAAGATGTAACTTTGACTTTCCTACTTCAACTTTGAAATATTAAACTATTTCCCATGGTCATTTTATAAGTTGGTTTTATGTTTTCAAGTCAAAACTACCAATATCTGGGTAGAATTTTTGTACTACTTCCATTAATTAATACTGGTGGTTTCTGATCATTCGTTCAAGTTTCCATTAAAGAACAATAAGTATTGGAATAATAATAAAACTTATCAAAGAGAAGAAATCAAATGAAGTAATTACATGGAAGAATACAATATTATTTTATGTCATATTATATATTAGACTGGAGAACATTTTATCTCTCTTCTTCCAATATTTTGTGTCCTGGTGTCCCAACAAGCTACTTAAGCCGGCTGTAGGGCTCAGACTTAGTCAAGTGAAATCCAAAAACAAATCTAAAAGTCTTTTTATATGTTTCTTCTGTTCTTTCAGAAAAAAAAATAAAAATATTATCTAATCTTCAAAACAAAGTATTGCAATTACTCCACCATTAAGAGACATTATTAATTTGATTTAATCAGCAAATAGATATTGATTAGTAATCATTTAATTAAGTTTATACACATATTAATGGTTTTTGTATTACATACTGTTAGAAGTTGAATTTGTCACACATCGTCAAATTCGTGGGCTCTTATAATGTATATATGTGATTAAGTTTTCTCCTCCTAGAGTTAGCTTTTGGGCTTGAGTTCTACTAAACTCATTTATCAAATCATTCTAATCTGATGCATATGTATTCATAAATGAGTAATTTCCTTTTAATCCCTCCCAGATGGAGGTAAGAAAAAACAAAAGTGGGATGGAAATGAAATGAGAATCTAAGTAAAGAATAAGAGATATAGTACAACAATGATGTATAATTTATGAAAAAAATTCAGGCACGAGATTTTTACAGTAGTTATTATGCAGTCTCTCTTCCAGGGCCGGCCCAAGGGGTAGGCAGGTAAGGGCGTAAGGCACCTGCCTAGGGCCCAAAAAAAAAAAAGCCCTAAAAAGGGGCTCAAAATTATTTTAAATTTTTTTAAATAGTTTTATAGAAATACTATTAGGCTTAAAAGGGTTTATAATTTTTTTTTTCAAAACTGGTCCAAAGGGCCCCAAAAAAGCTAGAAAAGCCCAAATTCATTATACTTTTTTTACATAAATTTACAAAAAAAAAAAAATCATGTTTCATATTTTCCATTTACACCCATAAATTAACTAAACTAGTTATTTAAATGTCTATAATTTCAAAACATCCATTCAATCCCTAAAATGATGAAAACATTGCATCTCCACCCCTCTACACCGCCATAGTGCTGTTGTCGGCATTGAAGTGATGATTCCGGTCAATTTTCTCACCAAAATTGATCGGATTCATCACTTAATCATTTCCAAAACGTTTTCACAGCCTTGACAACCCCCAATTTGGTCGATTTTTGCTAATTTTCGCAACCCATTTTCATTCTTCACCGCATGCGATAGTTTCGGCACGTATCCGTTGTCGTTGACCTTCCCCGACACCAACATCTTCGTCCCCTTAGCCCCCTCCCCAAAACCCCTCATTTACCTGATCCCGATAGCCCGCCGTCCACCTCTCGCCCTCACAAGAAAGATTAGGTAATTTGGCTATATTATCAATTAAAAAAAATTTGGTTTCTAAACTTGAATATAAAAATTTAATTAATGATTTTGCATCTCAAAAATCAAGAAAAATAATTTTTTAATAAATGCTTATACTATTAAAAGTGTCCCAAAGTAACTCTTGTCTGGAATTTCTTGGTCTCTTCGAAAAGACTGCATAGAACAACTCAAGTGTGCCAAATTCAACATGAAATACACATAAATTAAGATGCTTGACTCCTCATACAACAGTACTAGATGTTTATGCTGATTCTGCACTGGAATTTGGATCAACATGCTGCAAAATTTTCTCAATCTTCTTCACCACATGATTCATTTTAGGCCTGTTAGCTCCTGATGCTTCAATCATTGCTAAATCCACAAATTTTTCAAAGCCTGTGAGTGTTGCATCCAACCCTATGACTGAATCGAGAAAGTGATAGAGGTTTTATAGATCTTTTTCCTTATCCATTGCTACCTTCATCTGTTCAGCAATATGTTTGTCTTGATGTATCAGCCCTCTTGCAGTTAATAGTTCCAACATCAGCGCTCCAAAACTATAAACATCACTGTTTTTTGTCAAACTTTGGAATATGTAATAGAGTTAATAACTTTTTCTCACCAAAATAATAGTTTAATGGCACTTTCCTACATACAGACTCTTAAAATACAGTTTTACTACTCAAATTTATATTGTGGCAGCAAACAGAGAGTAAACTCGGTCCACGCTGTTGGGGTTTTTTAAGAAGGGAGATCGATGAATCTTTTGGTGGTAGAAAGTTGAATTTTGGTGGTTGTAATTGATTGGAATTTGACTTAAGAAGGATAGCTATGCAAATCCCAATCGCTCGATTTCCAGTGATTGGTGAGGTTGGCAGGAACAAGGTTTAAGAGGTTTTGGTGAGTGATGATCGGGGAAGAGAATATAAATTTGGGGTGTGGGGTCGCAACGATTCCGAAATCGAAAACGGAATATAAATTTAGGTAATAAAATGGTATTTTAAAAGTTTGTGGGTAAAATAGTATCATTAAGTTATTATTTGAGTGGAAAAAAGTCGTCTACTCTATGTAATATTCAGGATCCAAATAACCCTACATTCAAAAATTTATTTCTCTGGCACACAGTTGGGACATTGTGAGTCACTAAATGGATGGTTGTCCTATTATATTTATTCACGTGGATAAGTATATGTCACTTAAGAGGGAAGGATTTTTTTTGTCGTAATTAGGGATGGCAATGGGGCAGGGAGGTCTCCCACATTCCCCCACTTCACTTTGAATTTTGGTTTGTATTCCGATCCCACCTCCTCATTCCCTCAATTATTTAGACAAAATCCTTCTCATTCCGACTCCATTCCCCAATTTATCTAACACGGTGAGGATGAATACATAATAAAACTATATAACTCATATTAAAAATAAATAACCATTATAATTAAACAAATCATTACTATATAATATTAATAGTCTTAAAAAAAAAAAAAAAAAAGCCGTACTTTATTACACCAATAGGCAATAAGACTATATTTGTAATCAAATTTCATAAATTTTCTCTTACAACTCCAACGTGGCAGTTTAACATTGGTTTCTGATGAATTTTTCCATCTAACCAATTGCGAACTGTCACGTCGAGGTTATGAATAAGACTTTGTGAGATTGAGTTGTAAGTCGTGCTGTATCAATACGTAAATAGCTAAATTAATATTATGATGGAGAATGAGACGACATTAAAGTGGAGAGTACTATTTTTAATGTAGGGATATTATTTGCCCTCCAAAAACATTCCTTGCGTAGAATAACATTCTCGTTGTTGTCTTAATAGAGGTGATTCCAGATTTAAAGATAAAAAACAACGATCTTAGAATCTTTCTTTATTGCTTACTTATAGTGAAATTGAAAATGAAATAAAGGTAATAAAACACCTAAGAATATTCAATGATGTGTTACCACAATATTGAAGACACCTAAAGCTAGCTAAGGGTAATTAGGTCATTTTTTATATTTAAGAACAAAATGGTCATTCTACCTCAAGCATCAGTTAAAAATGGACAGCTTATGAACCAAAACAAGTGGGAAACCTTTCTTATGGATGTAAATTAACTTAAACCCAAGGGCAATCAATTTGTTCCAAGTCCTCCCAATTTCTTATATGGTTTTTTTTTTTTCTTTTTTTCTTTTGGTGGCCAGGGTGTCTAGACTAGCTTACGTGTACCTCGATCCTGAAATTAATGATCGGGTATACCCTCCAATGATCATCCCTATTAGCAACCGAAATAACTTAAGCTTCGTTTGTTACACTCTTGGGAATATTATTATTAGTATTCTCAGTAAAGTTAAAATTAACTTATTCTCAAAATATTATTCTGTATTATTCAATTTCTTTTAAACCCCCTAAATTTGTTAATTTAACTAACGCCCCTAACTATTTTTTTAGAAATTGCAAAAACACCCCAGCAACCCTCCGGCGGTGGTGGCCGGCTGTCTGTATTTAATGGATGGGTTGAGTATATGGGTGTTTAGTAAATAAACAAACATAAGGGGTATTTTTGTTAATTTTCAGATTATACATCGTAATACTCGTCAAATTTAACTTTTTTCAAAATATTGTTCTGATTTAATGACATTTTCCCTCTCACAGACTTTAAAATTTCACTTTACTACCCCAAGATATATTCTGTTTCCAATTTCAGCATCATTGCGACCTCACACTATCACCATTTTCTTCCCTGATCATCACTCACCAAAACCTCTTAAACCCTATTCCAGTCGATCCCGTCAATCCCGGCAATCGAGCAATTACAGTTTACATAACCATATCTTCTAAGTCAAATTTCGATCAATCCCAACCAATAAAATCTAACCTTCCACCACCAAAAGACTCATCTAGCTCTCCTCTTCAAAAACTCTAATAGTTTAGACCGAGTTTGCTTTTTATTTGACGTCGAAATATAAATTTAGATAATAAAATAATATTTTAAAAATATATGGATGAAAAAGTGTCATTAAATCATTATTTGGATGGAAAATTGTCGGTGAACTCTTTAATATAAGTGCGTTTATCTTTAGAAGTTGAGACTTTTAATGGGAAATTTACAGCCTTTTAATCATTTTATAAGTTACAAACTTTTCAAAGGGAAGATGCTACTTTATTATTGGATTGAAACTTGTCCCTACTCCTCCTCCTCCTTTGACTAATTTACCATTACCTAAATTTTACCAACCAAATTACAAATGACTTTATGAGCTAAACCCCATTTACATTTTGATGTGGCTGATATTGGTTGGTTGGTGAGGTCTACTTTTCAACCAGTTTTTTAAGGTGCATTCACTGCCTTTTTATCAGAATTCCTTTTTTCTCATTCAT